AGGGAAACGACTCCACTCCTGCCCCACCCTTATCCGTGCCAGCGCCGCCTCCTCGCCCTGCTACCCCCCGTCCTCCCCCGGCCACAGATCGTCCTAAGCCGCGGCCACGTCCAAAGACTGGCGCTGCCAGTGGCAGTGGCACGGGGGGCAGTCGAGACGAAATCACAAACCTCGCCGGGGCACGGTAGTGTAGTGGTCTACCGTGTAACGTTCAACACGTTACCTGCGGTTACGTAACGGTTTTTTTGGGGCCGCAGGTTTGAATCCCCCTCCCACCGAAAAGACACACTTTAGACACTTTTCGGCTTCTCACTGCCGATTTCCCATCATTTTGGCTTTGTTATGTCCCCCTTTGGCAACATTTGCCATCCACCTCTGATAACCAGAGCATCCCACGCCACATCATATCACCTTCATCTTATCTTCGGATCACAGCTGGACATCACCCAGCGGCCCGCAAATTCAGCTCCGCAGATTGCGGTCATATGGGAGCTCAGGCAAGACGAGCGTGCGAGTCGGCCTGAGTGGATGACAAGGAAGAGCGTAGCCGTAGACTTCAGATCCTTCCCTTCACGCTGGGCGTTGTAGATAAGATTAGATCTACCAACGCACAGCCACCTGTCTAAGACTTCTGCCTCCGCTCACCAGCGCATACTGAAAATTCTCTTTCCTCGCGTATTTCTCTCTAAGACTTCGATTTTCGAGCATCCAAGACATCAAATATGACTACGACCCACTGCGGCCTTCCTCTCCCACTCACGATAACTTTTGACTTCGACGCGTACACCGCACGCCCGGCAGACATCGCGCCTCCCGCTAATATCACGCTCACGCTGAAAAATACGAGGAACCGCAGACTAGAGAAGAACAACGGCGACAGCCTCGACGACACGTTCGCTTACCAGGAGGACCTCCTCGCTGGAAAAAGTCTTGAGGGCCTTGACGTTGGCGAGCGCCTCGTGCCCTACCTCGCGTATTCTGAGGAAGAGATAAATCTCTTGATGAACGACAAGGCTCTTGTCGACGCCACCGGCCCCCTGCCCAGTTACTTGACCCAGCTGATCTCAGAGAAACGTATGAAGATTGCGAAGGAGGAGAAAGAAAAAGAAGAAAAATTGGAGACCGAGCGCACGCAGAAAGAGGCAGACAAGGAGAAGGTGTACGAATTGGGTACGCTCCTTATGTCGAATCCCCAGACTCTTTCCGCTTCCCGCACTGCTCCCATCCCTATTCCTCCCATTTTCTTGGTCTCGTTGAAGTTTAAGGTACATTTTCCTCTTCATTGGTGGAAAAAGTCCATATTGAGGAGGGTTACGGAGGACCCAACGAGGGTGGCGGTATTGGACCGCAAGGTCAGCCAGGGGACGAAGTTGCACGGTGCGGAGAAGGTGCAACTCCTTGACGTCGCGAAGGCGACGAAGGAGTTCGGCGCTGAGGACGCGTCGATGACATATAATGCGTGGGGGGACGCCTCCCGCAATTTGTTGTCGGCATATGTTAGCTTGTGCCCCGCCATCGATCCCACCGTGCCCGGTTCTCCCACTTACACTTTCGCGTCCGAGTACAGTCAGCACATCGTCTTCTTTGCCAGTTCTGACGATGCAGAGTTGACGTTCCACATATGGTACCCCCTCGAGAAGGATCTTCGCGAGAAGATACTCTTCAACGATATTACATTCGACGACGTCTCCTGGGGCGCCAAACTCGACGCTTGCCTGAACGCGCACGAGTTCGCCGAGCGCAATAAGGCGACGTGCGAACTGCACGCGAATGCTTCCTCATCAGGCCCTTCCTCGGGATCGAAGCGTGGACCGTCTGACGATGGGAACTCGGCAGCACCCAAACAGCCACGCGGGTCTTTTGGTCGCAGAGAAGATTTTCGCGGCGGAGGTGGCCATTCGTGCGAAGGATCGGCAGCCCCGCAACGGACGCCTTCCTGCATCATCTGTCTCGGGCCGCACAGAGCGCACGACCACGATAGCAAATCAACATCCTTTCGGGACGGAGCACCGCACTTTGCCAAGCTCGACGGTCGTGGAATCTGTACCGCAGCGGCTTTCCGAGGTGGACCGAAGACACTTTGCGTCCTCTACAATGTCGTCAAAGCTTGCTCCGACCATGGAGAAGACCGTCTCCATGTCTGTAGCCTCTGTGGTGGCAACCACGCCGCACTCACAAAGGACGCGACATGCAGACGAGTCAGAGACGGGGCCTTCGTGCCTTGATCTCGCTCCCCGACGGCCAAAATTCTCGGAACACATACTACTCCCAGCACAGTCTAACCTACAGTACCCCGATTTGCTGCCGTTTGTACACGACCGCCCCGCATTGGCAGGGCCAGTCGACAATTTATCATTCTTACTAGATCGGGTCGTCACACCATACGACGCGGACGCCTTTTCCACATTACTAGACAAGCACAATCTAACGGCAGCCTATCCTCACCTTGTGCGCAATCTCCGTCAGGGTTTCCCACTCGGACGCATGCCTATCCTATCCTCCACTATCATCATTCCTAACCATTCTTCGACGACAACGGACCGCGCGGCAGTTCTGGAATACCTGCATAAGGAGCTAGCTGCGAATCGGATGTCGGGCCCGTTTTCGCGTGAGGAGATGGAAAGGATTTGCCGCGGGCCTTTCTATGCGTCTCCCTTGATCGTGGTGACGCAGGATCAGGGTCCGGGTTTGGAGGAGAAGAAGAGGGTTTGTCGAAACCTCTCGAAGGGGGACAAAGCCACGGGGACGCCCGCGGTGAATCATTTCATCCAGAAGGAAGACTTCCCGACGAGATTTGACATGCCATGGAAAGTGGCTGAAGTGGTGAGTTATTATTTCGAGAAATTTTCCCCCCTCCATTTTCTTTCTGGCGCCTGCGGCCAACTTTTGTGCCAAAGCTTCGGCCGCGGTCCTCTTCGAGCCCGGGCGTGCTCTCCTATCCCTACCTCGTGCCGTGCGCGAACCCTACGTGCCTTGCACGCGAGCCTATCTATCCGTGCCGTGCACGCAATTCTATCTGTCCGTGCCCTGCACGAGACCCTATGTATTTGTGCCCTGCACACCTCTATTCGGTGCCTTGCACACCTCCTATTCTTTTGCGCTCTCACGCACGCCCGCCTTTATACGCCATATTTCTATGTTCTGCCCTAAAATTGTGTACGCACATTTTCCTAACCTCCCGCGCGTCAGATCGCAACCGCACCTGCCGGAACTCAGGGTTGCGCGTTCGACATCAAGTCCTTTCACCGGACGTGCCCGGTTCTTCCGGCGCACAAACCTTTTCTTGTCGTTTGCTTTGACGGCAACCTCTACCTCGATCATTGCTATCCGTTCGGCGCATCCTCCGCCAGCGGTAACGCAGGTCAAATTTGCAATGCTACGGTCGACATTTGGCAGGCCGAGATGGGGAAGGACGGGAAACCGCTGAAGTATGAAGATGACATGTGCGCGCTCAGGTTCCCGAGCATGCTCATCGCCAGTTCAGCGGGGACCTTTACTTACCGTTTTGACCACGTCTCCATCGAGGCTCCGATCCGCCCGCTCCGAATACCATGGCACTTGACGAAGACAGGCGTCGAGTTCCTCGAACGTGTTGTCTTCCTCGGCGTGTTGTGGGATTTGGTCCAGCGTCGGGCGTCTCTCCCTTCCGAGAAACGCGCGAAGTACCTAGCACGCGTATGCGATATGATCGCGGGCATCATGGCGTCGCGGAAGTTTACCTTGGTGGAGTTACAAGAGATCCACGGGACTCTTTGTCACTTATGCTTCCTCTTCCCTGCGGGCGCTTCGCGTCTTCCCGTTTTCTCCAATGCGACGAAGGGTTTCAAAGGGAACACATTCGCGGAGCGTTGGCTCCCGAATTCCGTTCTGCATTCGCTGCGTTGGTGGGAGGCGCGGATCGCGGATGTCTCGGCGTTCAAGCAGCTTCGCCCGCTGGGGCCTCTGCGCGATTTTGGTATTTACGTCGACGCGAGCACTTCCTACGGCGTCGCGATTGTCATAGGGGAACGCTGGTTTTCGTGGGAACTCACCTCGTACTGGAAGTCCCCAGGTCTTGACATTTGCTGGCTTGAGGCAGTGGCAATAGAGCTCTTGCTCATGTTTTTGGTCCAGCTGAATTTCCGCGATATCCATATTCTTATTCGTTCAGACAATAAAGGCGCGATCGGCGCACACACAAAGGGGCGATCGCCGAATGTCGGGATCAATCTCTGTGCACGCCGATCTTTCGCGATCGCGGCAGGATCAGAGATCACGCCAAACATCATCTACGTGGCCTCTGCCGACAACCTCGCTGACGCGCCTTCTCGAGGTCTCGCCGCTCCTCATCTCCATGCCCGCGACCGCCTCACCCGTGAATTCGACATGCCAGTCGAATTCGACGGCGTCTTCTTGCCAGACCGTTCCCCGGTTTGATCAGCTCGCGATCGCACGCATGCTCGACGCTCTCTCGCCTGCTGCCCTTGTCCTGCGTGCGTCGACGCGACCGCTGCCTTCTTGGTCTTGCGCACAACCTATCCGTACGGCATCCGGCCGCAATCGTCCTTTGCGGGATCTCACGAATTCTTCGTGCGTCACGCGCTAGTTGTCGTCCTCTCATCGCTAATCTCTAGCAGTGCTGCCTCATCTCTTGAACCACGCATGGTGGCCTCTTCTTGTTCCCCTACCAATGTCTCTATGTCCTTGTACGTGAGACATGTAGCATTCCGATCCAATTTGCTGATTTATGCAGATTGGATTCTTGCCCATCTCCACGCGCGCCGCTGCAACCCCTCGCACATCTTGCGACGGCACCGGTTACTTACGCCCTACTTTTATGCTCTTATGTTATAACTACGCACTCATGATTTATGTAATATGACTTATGGTGGAAGAAAGTACGGGGGCCGGAATTGAAACGAAAATAAAATAAAAGATACCTCGGGGCTGATTCGAACCCGCGGTAAGCTGACTTGCATTCATGGGAAAAAAAAAAAAATTTTAAGTTTCTTTTGAAAAAATGCCCATGGCGCGAATCGAACGCATGACCCCCCAAGAAGCTGAAAAAGGTTGTCGTAAAGCAATGGAGTGTGTTACCGCTACACTACACGGGCATTATTTCTTAGGGACTCCTCTGCATTCCTAACAAAAAAAATATGTAAAGTTTTTTTTTAAAAAAATGCCCATAAACATGCCCATGGCACGGATCAAACACGTGACACCCTGATAACTTTAATGAAATAGCCGATAATTAAACAGGGTATGTTACTGCTACACCACACGGGCTTCCATGGTACCCCAATAGTTTGTAATAAAGCTTATGGATAATTCAATGATGTGTTACAGCTACACCACACGGACTTTCTTGGTGCTGCCCAACAAACACAGGTATAGTCAGGGCCACAAAAATTTTCTTTTTGGGATGGTAGCAGTTGTTTGTTTGGTTTCAGTATCTTATCTTGTCTTATCCAGTTTTTGAAGTTTCAATATAATTCACACGACATGAACGGCGTGTTTTTGAAAATATTCAATTAGTGAGCTTCCACAATATTTTATGGGGTGTCTAGAGGGTAATTCCTACTTCTATAATGCCTCTATAGTGTAGTGGTAAGCACACTGGTCTGCATATATCCCCATATCAACAAATGCTAGCCGGTTGTGTGGGTTCAAATCCCATTAGAGGTAATAATTTGTATTTCAGGCAGTTTTTTTAAAGACTCATTTTTTGATTCAAACAACCTCGCAAATTTCAGTCTCCACATGCCCTTATTTCCATGTAGCTGACCATTGTTTCTGTTTCATGTGGCCTTGTTTCTAGTCTAGGTGGGGCATCCCACTGCATTTTTGGTTGACGTGCTAGGACATCCCACCTGTTTTCTGTTTGAGATGGGGCATCCCACTGTGTTTTGGGATGATGTGGGACATCCCAGCCTTGTTTTTGGTTGAGGCAGGACATCCTACCAAGTTTCAAGTTGAGGTGGGACATCCCCCCAGATTTTTTGGTTGAGGCGGGATATCCCACCATGTTTTTGGTCAATACAGGACATCCCATGCCAGTTTCTGGTCCATGTGGGACATCCCACCTGGTTTCTGTTTAACATGGGACATCCCAGCATGTTTCTGGCTGACATGGAACATCCCGCCATGTTTTTGGTCCAGGCAGGTCATCCCACCGCATTTTCTGGTCAAGGCGGGATGTCCCACACTGGTTTCTGGTCCATGTGGGACATCCCACCTGGTTTCTGTTTAACAGGGGACATCCCAGTGTGTTTCTGGTTGACATGGGACATCCCACCATGTTTATGGTCCAGGCAGGTCATCCCACCACATTTTCTGGTCAAGGCGGGATGTACCACACTGGTTTCTGGTTCATGTGGGACATCCCACCTGGTTTCTGTTTAACATGGGACATCCCAGTGTGTTTCTGGTTGACATGGGACATCCCACCATGTTTATGGTCCAGGTGGGTCATCCCACCACATTTTCTGGTGAAGGTGGGATGTCCCACACCAGTTTCTGGTCCATGTGGGACATCCCAAATGTTGCAGGAGCTGCGTAAAGAAATAGGTCCTCATCCCAACCAAACTGCTGTACATGGGCAACTACAAGCAAACCAACCATGGTGCATGGGTGACCACAACTAAACAAAGAACGACCAAAGGCAAACGAACCAGGTTTTGCAGACAACCAAAGGGAAATGAACCACCATAGGTAGGGTTGGGCACGGGTTCAAGTCAACCCAGCAGGTTTCCAGGTTGGGCCGCCCAGGTACGGGTCACAGGTCATTGGGCTCGCAGACCCGGAGGAACCCACTACCGGACCCGCGGTTTGGCGGGTCGTTGCAGGTACAGATAATTTGCCTTTTTAGCACCATTCTGGGCTTACCTTCGACAGTATCCAGGGTGGGAGATCACAGAGAAAAGCTGGATCGTCAATTCAACTCTTCCTGAACAGAAACTGGATGCTATGCGACTGGTTTCAAGGCTGGTGAACGCTCATCTTGCATGTCAGACAAATGAATTGTACTCAGCACTCAATTCACTTGCAGAGACAGCGGAATGACACTTTGCAGGTCAGGTGGAGGCCAAACACACTCCCAGGTATGCCCAAGATGCCCAATACAAAGACCCGTGGTGGACCCATGCATTTGCGGGTCGGGTTTGGGCCCATACCCACCAGGGTATGAGTTTTGCAGGGCCCAGGTCCAGGTTGACCGATTTCTACCTGGACCCGTACCCGTGCCCATCCCTAACTGTAGGTGGGCAACTGGAAGCAAATGAACCATGGTGCATGGGCAACCACAAACAAACAAAGAACGACTAAGGGCAAACAAACCAGGTTATGCAGACAACCAAAGGGAAATGAACCGCAGTATGTGGGCAACTGCAAGCAAACAAACCGTGGTGCATGGGCAACTGCAGGCAAACCAACTGCAGTACATGAACAGCCTGCAAGCAAATGAACCGTATGGGCAACCACAAGCAAACAAAGAATGACCAAAGCAAACAAATCAGGGTACACAGACGACCAAAGGGAAATGAACCGTGGTATGTGGGCGACCACAAGCAAAGCAACCGCAGTGCATGGGCAACTGCAATCAAAGGAACCAGTGTACACAGACAACTGCAGATATGTGGGCAAAACGGAGCCCAAATGGCCATATTATACCTGTTTTTTGGGTGGGGTAGTGTCTGGGGTCCTGGCCGCAAAATGGGACAATGGGCTATCCCTACCAAATTTTTCGGGCCCGCCTGTGGCGGGTGGGATGTCCCAGTAAAAACAGGTAAAAACAGCTGGGATGTCCCACAATCGTTTCATACAAACGCGTGGGACAGCCCCCACTGACACTCCCTGGTAGAGTGGGATGTCCCACTTCAAGTGGGGGAACCACTCAGAATGACCCCCCCTAGGGTCTGTGATTCTTCATGAAAAATTAGACCCTAGGGGGGTCATATAAGGGTAGCCTGAGGTGCTCAGTCAGCGAGAAAAATTTCCCGAGGGATCGCACGATAGCATCGGGTATCTGGCTTACCTTCCTTGGCATTATCTGAGGTCTGCCGACCAAACCTTTGCAGGACTCGACTGGGCTCACACAAGGTGAAATATTAGGGTTGTTCACACCCACCCTTTTTCACGCCCTTTTTCGCGCCCTTTTTCGCGCCCTTTTTCGCCTTTTTTGCCATTCTCTTCGTTTTTTGGCTGGTTTTTCCCCCCTTTTTCAATTAGAAGTACAAAAAGGGTAGAACACCGAAAACATTGGGGTCCTACATGCAATTCTGGGGGAAATGGAAAAAAAAGGGCACGAAAAAGGGTGGGTGTGAAACCCCCCCTCTGGTGCTCCCTTTTTCCACCCTTTTTCGCGCCCTTTTGGCCTCCCTTTCTCCATTTCATGCTGTCTGGGTGCTTCTATCGCCCCTCAAAGGTCACATACCATCTCAAATGTCAAAAAGGACTGGGGTGAATTTTTCTGGATTTATAGCTCATTATCTTCCAAACATAAAAAAGGGTGCAAAAAGGGTGTCAAAAAGGGTGCAAAAAAGGGTGCAAAAAGGGTGCAAAAAGGGCGGAAAAAGGCCAGCTGTGAACAACCCTATTGATGTTCTCTTTCTGGGTCGGCCTAGGCAAGCACATCCTGTCTAGTTTTGTCCAATACGCAGTGAGTGCATCCGACTTTAAACTCTGCCCTCACACTTCTCTGGCTCATACTGCTATCTGCGTCCGAGTCCATACCTTCGCCTGTCATGCGAGTCGGAATGAATTGGAGTCGGGGAAGACAGGAACTACAGGTCTGTGAATCAAGTCGATTCAGTTACATGAAGAACAAGATATATATATAATGGAATGAACCCACGGCATGGAGCCATAGTCTCAGCACCGGGGCATAGTCTTAGTATCCAGTTGCAGAAGCTAAAGAAGCCAAAGTCAATTTATAACGAAGCCGCCGATTAGAACGCGACTGAGACGAACCCGTGGACTCGCAACGTTTGAAGGCTCACCGCTGGATAAATCAAGTGAGTGGGATTTGAGGTAAGAACGAAGAAAGCATAGGAAGAACAAGCGAGAGAAGGACTTGAAGAGCTCAAGCCAATAGATAGTCATGAAGATTCCAATTCGTCGTCAAGGAATAATCGAATCTAATTGAAAGTAGGTCACTGCAGTCAAAGCTAGCATTCGAGGGAAATAGCGGGCATCGAAACACCAAGTAAAACAAAACAGTGGCAGGCACTACAAGATCATAGTTTCCTCCGAGGGTGGGTGAATTGGCTAACACTACCCGGGGAAATTCAAGGCAACGATGCGCCAGTCCCACTAATGAACGGGAAGTTAGCTACAAGGCAAGTTAAGCAAGACCCCAAGCGCGTAGCCAGTCTGGAGAACACGGCGGAGGTCAGCAAAATTGCATCGCAGAGTCAAAGTCAGCACGAATAGTGGGATGAAAATGAAGACTACCGTGAAAGAGATGGAATGAGGTACATGGGGACAAGGAGTTTGAGTCAATATAGTGAGGAGTGCAGATAGTCATAGAATCTAATCATCGACACAAGAGTTTCGGCCACAAGGTCAAGTCGGCGTCCACAGAAGCCTAAACTCGGGGAATGAACAAGGGAGCATTGGGAGGCAAGTAAAGAAGAATGAAGTGAATGATACAAGCATGTTGATGCTACGCTCAAGTCCCGTACGAGACCCTCCGCCCGCGGCAGCACGGTCTCGATCGCCGTGCTCTCCATCCCACGTCAACCCGGCATGTTCCACATACCAGGGCGAGTCCGATTTGATGTAGCTGACGCAATAGTGGGATAGTACTCTTGTAGCGACGTAGGCAACGTGAAAGAGCGAGAGATGCAGAATCCGGGGCACGCGCCTAGGACGCACGCGTAGGAGACTCCGCGCGCCTACGCGGTAGCCATCCTCACACACCCCTCCAGATCCCCGGGGTCGTGCACCAGCCCTTTAAAGACCGTCTTTCCCAGCAAGAAATCAATGCGCTTCACCCCCTGGTTGCGCACCGTGACCTCCCGATCGCGCAGCTGCACCGGCCCCGCCCCGCTCCTCGCCGCAAACGCCCGACATCGCGCTGCAAACGCCTGCGTCACGCGTGCCTCGTGCTCCGCGCCCAGCGTCGCCCAGTCCGCGTGCGTGATGCGCGTGTGCAGCGCGTGGTGCAGCGCCACGAGCACGTCCGCGAGTGTTATCGGCGCCGCGCTCGTGTTGGCGGGGAGCGCGACGTCGACGGGCCAGAAGGCCAGGCGCAGGTGCAAGATGCGCAGCGCGGGGGGTGGAACGCGGGCTCGCGGAGCTCGGCGTCGTTGACGAGGGCGCTGGTGGGCGGGGCGGTGGCGACGCGGCGCAGTGGGCAGTCGAAGTGGAGGGAGGGCGTGTCGCCGTTGAGCCATGGGTGAATGAGCACGCTGGGCTGGGCAGCGCCGCCGTTGAGGTACGGGTTGGCGTTGGTGACCCAGGAAGGCGCGGTACCCCACGACTTGGCTTTCTTGTGCCCGGGCCGGAAGGAGGGTTGCTGGGCCCGGAGGAATGCGGGCACGGTGGGCGCGAGGAAGGGGGAGCTCGGTGGGAGGGCAGGGCCGTGCCAGGAGTTTGTGCGCTGCCTCGGTTCAAGGGGAATCCATGACGCGGCATACTGGGACTCGTACTGTGGCGCGTCCTCGGGCCATAGGATGCTGTTGACG